TTTGCAAAGCCTCATGAGCTAAGGGTCTCCACAATGAGACTTCTAGGGAATGACGTTTGCCCGTGACTTTTTCTAACCACTTAAAGTAGACTCCAAGAACCGCTGGGGCCGGACCCCGAGGGACAAAAATAATGTTAGCCAAAGGTGAAAAAAAACGGAGATCAGAGGTCAAGCCTGTCTTTAGACAAAACAGCTGTGATGCATATAAAAAAAGAGGGTGGGCTGACTGGCTGGCATGGTTCCATCTTGACTTTTTTGACCTTCCTTTGCAGATACCCCTCCCCGCACCTGCAGCCGACGCAAGGGATGACAAAGCAGCTTCAAGAGAAGGGCGTCGCAGCCTTCTGCAGCTGGAAGCGATGGTTGGGGGAATGCAGTTTATGGCTACTTTCAAGGTTTTTTGGGGGGTTGGCGTTTATCATCAGGGAAAGGTCAGGAACTTTTACATATTTAAAGGCAGAGTTCTTTCCTCTTTCGTTTCCCTCGTGATGACTAACTGCCTCTTTTTCCTTCTGCAAAGAAACCAAGTATCAATTCTGCTTGTCTGGGGGGTTTGTTTCACAGAAGTTCCTTAAACTGTTTTTGTTTGTTTCAGCAGAACACGTTTTTCCCTGCTGTTGATCAAAACTGAGCCGAATACAGACTTTTTCCAAAGCCAACCCCCCAGCAAAAATGATGAAACAGAAACTAAGTTAAAAAAACAGAGGCACTGATCCCACAAAGCAAACGAGGCAAGACCATTTTAAAAACGGGCAATCACCGTGCCGCGTGCCTAGGTGGGGTCTAAAGGTATGCCTTTCTGAGAATCATCCTCAGATCGTTAAATTATCTGGTTATGGGAAACTCATTCTCAAAATGTCAAAGACAGTTGAACACGCTCCCTGTACCCTACGGGCAAGTTGGACTACAACTCCAGTCAATCTGAACCAGGGGTACTCACAGGTGATGCTATGTGTGGACCACGACCGTTTGGGAGCAGAGGGGCCCATATTTTAATCTTGGAAATAAAAGAAGGGAGAAAACTTCTTTCTTGAGTCTGTTCAGCAGGTGCCCCCAACAGACCGGGGCATCGGTTGTGATCTGACCTGGCCTTAAAGTTCTGCTAGGTCCTATAAAATAGAGCTAGGATATACCGTTCAGTTGTTAAAGATTTCAAAGACGGTGTCCTCACTAACAACAAGAACAGTTCTGTGGCGTAATTTGGTATGATATGCTCATCCTGTAGTGAGTTATTAGCTTCCTTTAAAAATCAAGTTTCTATCCCTCATGGGGTTAGAAAGAAGATTTGGTGTAAAAAGCTAAATGTGATCCTCATAAGAGCTGGAGAAGGCAGTTTCAAAGGACTACAACATCTGGAGGGTGTCAGTCTAGAGTAGCATTTCTCAACCTTGGCAGCTTGAAGATGTGTGGACTTCAACTCCCAGAATTCCCCAGC